TGAACATTATATTTATACGCATTCAATTATATCAGCTTTGAAAGAAATATGGCCAACTTTTCGAATTATTTCTTTTCAAATTTCAAATCATTGACATAAGTATACCTAATATAGAGATCAAACAGAATATTATTATCATGAATACCTGAATCAATGATCGGGGTAGGTTTTTCCGGGTTTTTCAACACCCAATATAACTCGAATATATTCGAGTATACCGTATGTTGTTATTGGATGAAGATGGTTTCCTCATTATTCAACTGAATTTCAAGACAGTCCGAGTTGCTAGGCCGCTCCTGGAGATATCCTTCCCATCAAATATGGATGATAAAAACGTGTGAATTATGTTGATAGATGTTCATGAAATATATAAATCGCATAAAAACGGTCCATTTGGTGAATGCAATAACCATAAATATAAACTGTATTTATTTATTTAATGAGTCGTAAATTTTTCAACTGGATAAACAAGCAGCGGCGATGAATCGATTCAATTGAAGCCTAATGTCAAAATACTTTCAGTAAACATATCTGAAAACAACATGGGTAAAACGATTTTTGTCTTTGAAAGCTCTGTTTGAGAATATAGATTTAATTATTGTTTTCTTGTTTCTCCAAAATAATTGAAACCAATTATTTACTGAGTTTATTTCCATGCCTTCGAGGGATGCATACAAGTTGGTGTTGAAACTGAAGGTCTTATAGGAAAAAAATTACAACCATAGATGTGTAAAAAAATAACTTACTCTGTAGTTCAGGTGGCATTAACCACGAGTAATAAGACACTCAAGAACAATCACACTCATGAAACTTCTGAGGAACCTTGTCATCACAGAATTAATCGAAATCAATAAAACCATTTTTTACACCATGCAGAATCAAGAATTTCAAATTCATCACAATATCAATCAGATCTTTCACATCCGAACGATCCACTAGTTGTCAGGTTATAGGTTATAATATATTATTTAAAAACTGATACCTATAAAAAATCATCACAGGATTCCAGATGAAAACATTAATATGATGAAATATTTCGATTTGTCTAGGTCCAATGAAACTACTTTCGGAAAATGTCATAGAAACTACCTATAGATATAAAATAGTCAGTTTCATTTCGAATGAACACCTATCATTGTTACCCTCCTGCTTCTACTTTGGTGAAATTTCACAACTTCTAATTGATATCCACCAAAAAAGTATCGAGAAACTTTTCGAACACATCTCGAGCAAATGCTCACTCTCAAAACTCCTTATCGCCTTTTTGCTTTTTCAGATTTTCTTCAGTTTCGGCAACTTTCTACCGAGTAAGCTGTCTTCATGGAAGTTTCATTTGTGATATAAATGTTAACTTCCAACTTAGCACTAAGGGCCATAAGCAGACAGTAGAAATACTCAGATGTTGGATTACTCGAATTTGATTTCATATTGATTCTAACTAATTCTTTGAATGAAGCGACGTCTGACGATCCAAACCTCAGCCATGTTTTCAGTAAAATCATCATAACGAATTGTGTGCGAATATCAATACAAATTCAAATTGTCGAGCAATTATTAGTCTGAACCTTCAACGGTTTATTATGATATTTATTTATCATCTATTTGTTCGCTTATATCTGCTTCTAATGAAATGGCACATTAATTATGGTAGTATTCTACATTTTTGTAACTGTAATTGCACTTTCCGATCCCTTTAAGCTCAGATATTTATAATTCCCATAAAATGAAATTGCAGGATGAATATTCCTCTGTAATTTTCTCGCAATCTTTGTTCACCTCGTTTTCTTTTCGCCACCGTATCAGGATTTGATTCCAGAAAGAATAACTAAATCAAAAATTATCCAGCGTGGCTTTGGAAGCTGAATGGTAAAAGTTATTTTCTACTGTTTTTATTTGAAGTTGAGATTTCAATTCGAGATGATGATACTCCAGTCAAGAATCCTTAGATTCTTAAGGAGGTACCTTGCTTTATTCTGTAATTTTTAGATATCTATACTGAACAATTACAATACGTTGTTATATCGATAGCTACTCCTCTAAATTTTTTTGTAATTCTCATAAAATTCGTTGAATAAAGATTATTATTATTATTATTATATATATTTATGTCCTCGTTCATTATCAGCTGTGCTCAATGCTCATATAATCAAGACTTCCAGCAACTGATACAGTAAGGTATATATATACCAAAAAGGTATCCTAACTCATTCCACTGGATATTTATATATCGATCCCCAAACCCAATCCATATTTTATAGCATTTCCATTGGAATAGAAAATTGGCAATTTTGATTATATATCAGTCTGTCATTCCAAGATTATGTCTATCTACTATGCCTACATATCAAACTATATCCTTTTATCAGTTTTATCCAAATCAGTTTATAACTATTCGGGAGATCCCTGACAGTTTAACGACGAGTGTCAATAAAAGCTTGAATATTGCTGTGCCCTTTGGTTATGACCCAGAAATTAACAGGCAATCGATCAAAACATGAAGGAAAGGCCATGTGAACATGGGTCCGAAAATGATTCGGTTTCAAGTGTTGCGCTTAAAAAAAATCGTTTCTCTGCTTCTAGGAGGACAGTTGAAAACATAATTTCAATGAGGATGTGAATTTAGTGCTGGTTGACTGGCTACAGTAACGTTCGTCAAAACGCATTGGAAATTCTATAGGCCACCAATTTTTTACATCTGTATATGCACCCGCAATAGCCGTATTTATTCAAGATAGTTGAGTCTCATAAGGTATAACGGCATCAATTCCTCAAATCAAATAGTACACTCCTGCAACGATTATAAATTGTTTACGGGGACTGGAATTAATGATTCCTATTAAATTCGTTTGGGGGTTCTGCTGGGGCGTGCTTTTTTGCCAACTAAGCTAAGATGCGTAATTAAAAATATCCATCAGGGAAAAGGATCAATTAAGAACTCTCCAACAGAACCAGCGTTTGTGTACACGAACTTTATAAGCGCCCACCATTATCAATAAATGTAGCAAATAAACCACAAGATTCGTATTTGTTCTTCCACTGAACATTCTCAGTGTGGTGCTAGCTCAAAAGCTATGGAATTCATTTGGGAGTACAAATAGAAACATGATAGGAATGAATTTCCTTTCGTTCGATCCAGAAAAGAAACAAGGTGCTGCCAAATATTTTGCGACTTTCATGGGTATGAAGGAACAGACATCACGATAGTTCTTTCCTTACCCTAACTCCAAAGGTAGGACATAGGTTCGTTCAACTTATCGAGATAATCTCTGGTATACAACTCCTTCAACACTTGATATTGTGACTTTCATTATCAAATATTCATCATTTTTTAATTTAGTAAGTCGAACACAGGTGTGGTACTGTTTTGAGTCAGCAGAAAAAAGTCTAGACAGTAGTTGATTTCTACAAGGCCTCTTTTTGTCTGTAGGGGGTAATTACTTATATACTATTGTCATTTAGCCCTAAAGATTCAGATATATTTACTTCCAAAGTCTGTCAAATAATATAACCTCCAATCTCTTGATTCTCTATCATATCGAAGGTATGATAAAGGAAATGTTTCGCAGCAACGTTAGAATCAGTGGGCGTAAGAAACAAACCTGAACTCTTGAGAAAATTTCGAATGGAGTCGAAAACTAGGCAGGTCCATGACCGTTCAAATTCATTTCAGAGTTAAAACAATGAAATGTTCCAATAACGAAATAGTCGTGCATAAAAAATCAACATCGAGATAATTTCAATATTCTCCAATGAATAATTATACTTCATTAAATGAAAAATACAATAAATATCTACGAAATATCAACAAAGGGGAATACATCCTTGTTAATGAAACAAAACATATGCATCCCTACTCACAAGAGACTTTGACGATACTGAAGATACGCGAGAATCATTATAATCGAATTCAACATTCGAATATGTAGTGTCCTGTGTAGATGGAATCAATATTGTTGGATATCTGGAAATGGCATAAAGGTCGAATCCAACTGGTAATATTCCGTTAGTCGAGTAGTGGCTCATGTCCAAACCATTTGGGGGTAAGACGTGAAGACGACGATGACGTTCTATTTCTCTGTGAACCCTTCAGTCGGCGAAAAAACGATTCAGATAAAAAACGATTATTTTATGAAACTTGTCGATTGAAATTGATTTAATTGCTTCTTAATGCACTTCGAACAAGTCGGTTTATCTTCACCGTCCAAGTAATCCACGCTAGTAAACGAATCCCAGCAATGTGATGAACTCATATTATGAGGAAGTGGTAGTGATAACTCCCAAAAGGGATCCAACGTCAAAGAAAAATGACCGCAATATACGCATTTCAATGTCGACTTCAATTGGCTGAAGACATCGTGCCTTGTCCTTTCAATCTGTACGCTATCTCAAATCACAGCGGTACCACCTACAGCAAACACTTCACAGCCTACTGCAGACATCTTTATACGAAAATTTGGCACGAGTTCAAGGATTCTTTCTTTTGTTTCTTCAATTTCATCGAATTCTCTTGTCAGTGGGGATGCTTATATATTCTTTCAAACCAACAAGAGGCTCACTCCAACTACGAATTCAACTACGGAGTTCAAGACGCCTCTACTGGTGACAACATATCCCAACACGAACAACGTGATGGTGACTCAGTGAAGGGCTATACTGTACCGTAGCTCATCCCGATGACACCCTTCGTACTGTCCACTATTCTGCCTCAGCTTTCTTCCAAACATTATTTATTATGTTATGTTTATATGTCTATTCTTGTTTTGAGAAATGTATGAATATGTATTTTTCCTGCTCTTTCAAAATATCAAAACAGATCCACAAGAAAAAAAATTGGTCGTCAATTTCGTTGAATCGTCAAAGCTCCATATAGATTGAACCACGATTTCAAAGCTCTGTCGTTACCACTGGAGGACTCGTCGATTTGCATCACATTCAGTTCCTTCAGATCTGATATTACGTTGACGTCTTCGTGCAACCCTCTCAGCAGGAAGCATAAGAACTCATGTGCGTCCTGCTGGGCAGATCCGATGAAGCAAGGTGCAAAACGTTGCGTTAATGATGCTATCCGAAGAGTCCTCGGACCACCACAGCTCCTTTATCACCTTCGCGAACTCAGTGAATAATTCCCCTTTCATGCTGGCTCTGGTGGTGTTTATAAATGACATATAGTCATCATTCAAGATGAGCTCCGGCAGCCGTTTGGTGATTGATAAGCATTGATTGACACTGTTTATGAAACATGCGTTGCCAATGTTCTTCAATCCTTTGAGGCCCAGCAATATTGCTTGAGGTGACAAAGTTCTGCCAATGGGCTTGTGAATAGAGATCCGGCCGCAGTTCTTGTCAAACTGATTTTTTATTTCTCGGATGTCGAGAGTCTTTTTCATGTATCCAACATTCGAATATATTCTTGATTCGGCTCATGTCAACATGTCGAATCGCCAAATATAATTTATGAGATAGATAGTCGGAAATTGTGCAAAAATCACTTCCAATGAAAATTAAAGTCACAAATAGTTCATGGCGTTTATATTGCATGGAGAATAGATTTCAACACGCTTTTATTACCATCACATGTATGTATGTATGCTTTTGTATGTAACCGATTCCTTCGGACTCGATTTTGTCCCACTTCAGATCACAAGTGTATACAAAATTCTGGTAAATGCATCATGAAATTTTTGTTAGACAAAAAAAATGGCGGATGAATTTTGCTGGGGTCAAAGATTATAATTCTCTCGTCATCATTTGGGAATTCGAGAAGTCGGATCCTATTTGGCGGATGAATCTTGTTATCATGATCCGTTCCTATTCAAAATTGAGATTATGATTCTTCCTTCAAAATTTGAAAATTCAAGATTGCAGATCCAATATGGAGTACGAGGTTTGTAATTTCGATCCGGTTCTATTCATAATGGGTATGCAGGGGTTTTCGGGGTCGGAGATTATGATTCAATCGTCAACATTGAAAAATTCAATATGGAGGATTCAATATGAAGGATCCAATATGGCGGACCGGTTTTGTAATCTATTGAAAATGGGTATATTGGGGTTTTTGGGGTCGGAGAATATGATTCGTTGAAATCGGGTATAATTTCAAAACATATAGAAAAACTGAAAAACATGCTTTTGTCGCTTTTATAGATAGAGAAACTGGAAAGAAGTAGGAAATAAAATAATGAAAGTGTTTCGATAAATACACAGCATAAAAAATATTAGCACCTTCGTAATCAGTATTATTATGTTGTGTATTTATCAACACGCTTTCATTATATTATTTTCAACTTCTTATTAGTTTGGCTATCGTGTGTTTCTTGAAGGTATAAGTAAATACTGTTATTTTTTTAATTTTGGAGGATTCACGTTCTTGCATGGAAAAGAGTTTGAAAGCTTTGCTGGTCTATAGATTAATGAGCTCTGGTAGAGAGTTGTGCGATAAATCTCAAGATTGACGAGAAAAGGATATGCTGACTGAGCTTGTCAAGTTCGTCTGGCTGGTGTTACTAGTTATAGAAGTATGTTCAGAAAAGTGTCACCGACTTTTCTGCAGTGTTCCATGATGTCATTGAACTAGTGAGTGTGGTATCAGCAACCAGTGTGACAGAAAACACAGAGTGTGAGAAAAAGTTTGTACATATTCATCAATTCGTAGCAAAACAATCAATTTTATGGATAAAATAGAAGTATACAGCTGTTATTAGAATCAGGGGCCAGGTAGCCACGTGGTAGAAGCGTTAGTGTTCTAACCGGCGGGTTCAAATCCAAACGACTGCAGAAAATTTTCTGATGGTCCCCATCATTCTTTGTTCGCAGAAGTCTCTTGAAGACTTCTGAGGGTTTTGAACAATTTTTTTGGAAATATAGAAGTACACTCGTCCACAAGAAGCACTAGATTTCCAATACAGTACCTCCAAAAAAAATTGATCGGGTTGTAATCAGCTGTGACAAATTTTCAAGTTTCATCAAAGAAAAAATAGCCCTTATCCAAGTGACAATGCAAGCAAATGATCTCTTGTTATTGTTCGCCCTTTACACATAGATTCACCACGATATTGTTTACGATTAGTCAGTTGCTAATCGGGTCGTAACTTCATTTGGGAAAAGACAGTGGCCTCGGTAATTTACCGCTAACCATTAAATTGGCTTTTAGATGTTTAACAAGCTACTAAACGACATAATGGACATATTGCACTGTAAACCGTTCGCCTCGTTGAAATCAGAGTAGATGCACAGAAAAAAAATCTGGGCTGGAAAATACAACATGGACTAATTGCATCACTAGATAGATCGACAAAATTGAAAGGGAAGTCCTCGGGAAAGTCTCAAGAGGAAAATATTTATTTTTCGTTCTTGTTCTGATTTCAGTTTCTGTTTATTGTTTTATGCTGAAAGAACTGAAATTTGAAAATGAACCAACTACTCTGGTACGAATCTGCAGTTTGTGTTGTGACAAAACACCCACTATAGACCTTTCGTAATATTTTTGTTTTATTATTTCTGTTATACCGGTATAACTGCCATCATGGTGTCACGTATTTATGGTAACGCCCAGTATGTTATTAATTTTATATCTCTACGCGCGGTTTGATGCGACAAAAACTGAGGCAGTAAAAAGCTCTGTTGAATTTGTATCTTCTTTTGCCAGCGGGTCTAGCTTTTTTCTGAAAACAGATTCGGAGAGAAGGAGCATTCGAGATTTTCATGCGACGCTAACAATTACCAAAAGATCCTTCTGGTTTCATCTAAAACAATAATTCATTGTTTTTGGGCCTGTTCATTTGATAGGTACGTACTCTATGTATACTAATTCTAATAATATATGGTTTTGCACAATTTTATTCACATTATGAAAGTAACAACTTTTCACGTACTTACTTGATATATTTTTGATACTTTTAACCGGCAATCGCTGCCTTATTTTTATACATCATTTCATGTACTATATACAGGGTCATTTGATAGTTGTAGATGAAGTTGCACGGTGGAAGTTATATCAATTAAAGTGTACCAACAAAAACATCCATCTAGTCCAGTAATTTCCAAAACCAGCCTGAAGCATCCTCATAAGAGCGCCCTGAGATATTCGGTTTCATCGCAAGTTTTGTCTATGAAATTATAAAAAAAAATAAAAAAAAATATATTAATCCATTATTAATAATTCATCAATAATTAGGCATGAAGAAAATAATATTTCCTGAGGGCAGGAATGATATGAAGTTGATATGATATAATGATATAAAAAATGACTCGATAAAATATTTATCTACCTCGTTTCGCATGTAACTTGAACCAAATTGCAAATTGCATTTTGTTCTCGTATTTTTTAATGACGTATTTTGGTATGGGATATTATTATTTCCGATTTTAACGAAGAAAATTGCCTGAATGTTCTAGTGCCAAAGCACGAACTAAATATAAAGCTGTATATTTTAGCGTTTGAAGAATAGGAACAGACAGAGCAAAATTGGCCATTAGCATTTCATACATCTGGATGATCGAGATTATACTATACACAGTGGGTCAGAATAATCTACAGATATTTCTGTGGGTCCCACATCGAAGAACAAATAATGTTTTTTTCTACATAAACCTATTTCCGGAAATTGATATAATATGTTCGTATTGAGAGAGATAAATTTCAGTTGATTTATAATCGAGGTGACCGTATGATGTGCATGTCAAACTAATATTTCGAAGGTTTGATTGAAAAATGCGATTGCACATTGATTTGTGAACATAAATCCTGTGGGATGTGATTCTGTTGGCTAATGATCTCTTTGATTGCCCAATGTATATTTTATCACAATCCTGGTAGGGGATGTGCTGTACACCACATTAGTCTGCGACAGACTATGGACTTCATCCAGAAAGGTGTGCTTTAGCAGACCATGTTAATCATCTGACCATAAACATGGATGCATCAGCAAAAATTTTAGCCACAGAAAACAATCACAAAAAAAGAACTTTCTTGGTCTTTCATCGCCCAGGAACATAATTGTATCAACAAAAGAGCTGATATCAACCATTTAAGTGGAATTCATTCATATATTTTATAATAATAATGTGTCTTCATTGTTCAATACAACCAATACATAGAGTGAATACAATCACTAACCCTGAATAAAATTAAACAATATCAAACAATATCAATCGATCACAGTACAGTTTTAAAATCGACGTACTTTCTCCTTCTAATCCTCTTGTGACTATAACACACACTAGCACTAGGTAGCATATGACCAAGGTCACCACCACATTCTCAGTTCCATCTCACCATTGAATTGGAAGAATAAGGTTCAGTTTCCTAACCTAAGATTTTTATTCTGACACGTTGTGACTAAAAAGTTTATCATGATTTTAAATCAGCAACGTTTTTGATATTGACCTAATATTTTGATTTTTTTGTATTTGTCTTGTTCCAGATATGTTGAACAACAATTTTTTATATATATATATACTTTTTTAGTATCATCAATGTAACTAACCTCAATGAGTTGTAAGTACATCACTCCATAGTTAACAAGCTTTGCTAATTTTTATAACATTTTGTAGTCTTTCCCTGATGATGGAAATATAACTTTCTGAAAGCTTGGATAAACTTGCATGAGTTTCACTTTTACTTTGCTGCTTTCCCACTTCTAAGTTTCATATATATATGTTATATGTTCATCCCTCTTCGGCCTTTTGTCTTTCGAGTGTTTGTAGTTGTAGTTATCGGTATGCAAATTTATGGAGCTCGTGGAATTACTTCAAACAAAAAGTTTCAATCATTAGAACAAGTAGAACCTGATTATATACCTTTTACCCTCGATTAGCAAATCACTCCCATCTAATGCTGAATTCAGAATCAATTCCACTTCTCTCGTTGCGATAAGACCGTAATGATATGAATAGTATTTCTTCGATCCGAATTTAATTTCTAGTTCCGAAGGAATCCCGAGTTCCCAAGATGAATAAATAAAATTTATAGCAGCTGGGAATCCAGAAACAACCGTTTCCAGCAGCACCAAAATTTCATTAGAAAACTTATTCGGGGTTTCTTGTGAACATAGAGTTTTAGCAATTCTCTGCATGGTGTTGGAGAATAGATTTCACATTAATGAGGCTGACTAGTACATAGGATAGCTGTGAATGCTGTGATATACTGATATAAATGGAAAATACTGTCTGTAGGTTAATCAAGGAGGTGGAATATTAATTCTCCTAGATTATTAGTATACGAATCTGCTCCTTCGAAATAAAAATGAGGAGAGAAAAGCCTAAAGAATCCAATAAGGAATCCTCAAATTTTTGTAGGCTGATCATCAGCTTCATGAGAGTTAACCGTTGTTAATCCAAGCCATAGAGATATATGTACAGTGTGTCCATTTAGTGCGTAATTCTTCGA